GAAAAGGAGAGACCTAAAACCACTCACTATAGCATTAGCCCAACAAGGACTAAGATACAGATGGGGCCACCCCTTCAAACTTCAAGTCCGCATAGGAGAACAAGAACACGTGCTACACCACCCGTCTGCAATGGAGGAGTTTGCAGCGGCCCTGGGAATACAGCTCGCCACCGTGGCACCACCGAGAGACCGGCACAACAACAACGAAACCAGAGGAGCTTACGCCAACAACCGTACCCAACAGACACACCGACGCCAAGCCAGCAAAGGGCCCCCCCGACGACCGGGGCTACCAGCCCGCCCACTGTGACCTGAACTCAGCCCGCGCGGCCTCTGGACTTTCCTTTTCACCCTGCGGAGCTTACCGCTAAAAAACAAACGAGGACTCAGGCCTGTACATCCTGATAGGTTGAAATGCTGAAATGTTTTACTGTTTTACTGTTTTACTGTATTTACTGTATTAACGTTAGTATTCATTCCTGACATGATGAAAATATGACGGAGAATATGCTGACACACTTGGGCCACCAACACACTAGATCAGGGGAGTAAGCCACAACCACCAAAGCCTAAGGCCTTCCTCATCACTGCCCCCCCTTTCTAACCGCACAATCCCCTACGACGATAGACCACTAACTTAGAGAGGGGCCGGCTAAATCCATCCTAAAGCCCTATCAGCACTCCCAAAACGAGGCCAACCACTACACAACCCGCTATCGCAGCGGCAGTCCCACTCCATACCACGGCCCAACGTGATAACCAAACCGCATCGCTAGACAACTAAAACACCAGAAGATAAAACATTTGGAAACCCTACACTATGTTAACAGGGCAGGTGTGATATTACAGTGTCCCCCTCTGCTATGAATTGGTTGACGAATTGCACTGATCTCCCGTCATTAAAACACCGATGTTAAGCTACACTGCCCTTCCTGTACGGAAGCAATGAGGTTAACGAGTAACCTGTTCCCAAATACCGAGACACAGGTGTCGAAGGGCACCTCCCCCCTTCTTGCCACGGCACAAGTGCCAGACAGCACCACTCCCCCTTTAACAGGACCCTACTGTTTCAACCCACTACCCTTCCTCTGCCAAGGCATGGCTCCCCCTTTCCCCAGGTACTGATCCCATTCCGCACTATCTTCACCTCATCAAAGCGGAGGCCCTAATGGACACTGCTCCCCCTTCACCGAGACGCAGGTGTCAAAGAGTACGACTCCCCATTTAGGGAAGCACAGGGGCCGAAAGGCGCCTCTACTATAACACAAATAGCACAATACACTGCCCCCACTGTACTACAGCATAAGTGTCAAACCGCACTACTCCCCCCCACAGCAGCATAGAAAGCACACTGCACCGCTCTTAGATGGGCGCAAGTAAAGGGGGACCACCCTAAAGAGAAACAGGGGGCAGAACGGTATGGGAAAAACAAACAAGGGAGGCCACATAACCAAGCAGAGCAAAGGGAAAGTAAAGACAATCAAAGGGGATAACAGTGAAGACAGGGAGCAACACACACATAAAACATTTATAAAAAAAAAAAAAAAAAGACAGGTAGGAGACGGTAGAAGGATCCCCAAAGGCCCTCCACAGTTCTAATACCCAAGACTCAACCGACCATCCTAGCACACGAACCACAATTTCGACACAATGCAAACACCATGAGAGCGACCCCCGAGCACCAGCCAACTGGAACCCCCCGTTACCCAGGAACACACCACTACTGGCAGCAACAATTAATGACATGTACATTTTCTCTGCAGATCCCCGGAACCCTCAACGCCCCCCACACACCGGGCCATACCGCAGCCCCCACCTAAGCGAAACCCCAGCCATCGGTTTCCAGCGACCCGACAAACCATCACGACTCAGGTAACACTGGCATGGCTCGGAGAGGATGGGAGGTAAGGTTAATCCCCCCTCCAGACAGCTCCGACCCAACTCACACAACCTACTCACGACCAACCCCCAGTAGCAGACGATCACACCTGCTCCCCCCCAGCCGGAAAACAGACCACCCACGGGGAAACGGGAATAGGACCGCAACGACACACCGGTACCTACACCCCCTCAACCTCCGCCCCCGCCACACCCGGCAACCTAGGTATAAGACCGGGGAACACCCGACCCTCACCCCACTTACAAGGTAAACCCCTGACCTCCTACACCCACGGACTCGGATCCCCAAGTCTAGCGGCCACCGAATATACAGACAACCCTTCCACCCCGGACCTGCACATTCCCCTCCCGACATCCCACATACCCTCCAAGTGGCCACTACATACTACAGGCACGCAGAGAACCAACTCACTCCACACATCACGGAACACCATGAACACCAATCTGACATGCGTATCCATGAACTGCAAAGGCCTTAACAACCCAGCGAAAAGACATAAACTAATGAGATGGGCAAACCGTACAAAAGCAGACATAATATTACTGCAAGAAACCCATTTCACACAGGCCAAACCCTTCCCCCTTCTCAGCAGACAATACCGAGAGTGCCACATGGCCAACTCCCCCACCACCAAACAAAATGGAGTTGCTATCTTGCTGCGAAAAACCTGTCCACTCAGCACCAAACAAATACTGAAGGACCCACAAGGCAGATACATCACACTCACGGGTCAGGCAGGACACAACCAATACGCCATAACATCACTCTACGCCCCAAACACTCCAGACAAAGAATTTTGGGACACGTTCCACGCACACTTAGCCCTAACCCCTGGCCACCTCAAAATTGTAGGCGGCGACTTCAACGCCACAATGACATCGGCGGTCGACAGAATACGAAGCCAAACACGCCCAAATCCCACACCCAAAATAGACAGACTACTGCAGGACTTCGTACAAAGACAGAGACTGGTAGACATCTGGCGCCTGCTCCACCCGACCACCAGGGACTACACATTCTATTCCCACCCACACAACTCATACTCCCGCATCGACCTTTTTCTGATTTCACCCCCCCTTACGCACATGACCCAAGCAGCCGACATAGGCAACATCACGTGGTCAGACCACGCAGATATCACAATATCAATCAAGGTCCCCGACATAGCCAGGCCATGGTCCTGGAAACTTATCTCCACACTGCTACACAACCCGAAAATAACAGAAGCAATCCAAACAGAACAGACAAACTACTTCACACTAAACGCACCCTCGGCACCCTCACCAGGCGTACTGTGGGCTGCCCACAAGGCAGTCCTAAGGAGAACAATTATAAGCCTAGCATCTCACCTAAAACGAACACAACTGGCCGAGTTAGCAACAGCCCTCACGACTCTCAGATCCCTAGAAACGAGCCACAAACAAAACCCCACACAAGACATCCTTACGGAAATAACAGAATGCCGAACCAAAATTAAAAACTTCATGACAACCAAAGCTATGCAATGGACAAAACAAACCTATTATGAAAAATCCAACAAGGCCGACACCCTACTAGCCAGGAAGCTGCAACGCAGACTTGACCGAAAACAAATAAACACAATACAATCACCGGACGGCACCACACACAGCACGCAGTCTAAAATCGGCGAAGTCTTCCAAAAATATTTTGCCACACTATACGACCATAGCCCCAACACCAGACTACAACCCGAAGAGTCCAGACGAATACCTACAGAAGATACCCTTACCAGCCCTAAAAACGGAGGCTATATCCAAAATAAGTGCACCAATCACTATCGAAGAACTAGCCAAAACCATCAAAAACACTAAACCCAACAAAAGCCCGGGACCGGATGGCTTCACGGGCCTCTATTACAAAACATTTCCTACTATACTCCTCCCCCACCTTTGCAACCTCTTCAACACGATACTACAGGGAAACCCCATACCCCCCGACCTCCTAAGAGCAAACGTGTGCCTTCTTCCCAAACCAAACAAAACCCACCTGGACCCAAGCCACTTCAGACCAATATCCTTACTAAATGTAGACATAAAACTACTTACGAAGCTACTTGCAGACAGAATAAACCCCCACGTACATAAACTTATACACCCCGACCAAGTAGGCTTCATACCCTACAGACAGGCATACGATAACACCAGACGGACCTTTGACCTCCTTTGGACGACCTCTCATCGACGAATCCCCACCCTATTCCTGTCCCTAGACGCCGAAAAGGCATTCGACCGAGTATTATGGCCTTTCCTCTTTGCCACCCTACACAAATTCTGGTTCCCCGACTCAATTCTCAATGCGCTCAACATCTTATACTCCACACCAGAAGCGAACCTCCTAATCCCAAATGCCCAACCCCCCTCTTTTCGCATCTACAACGGGACGAGACAGGGCTGCCCCCTCTCCCCACTCTTATTTGCCCTCTCATTAGAACCCCTACTCCAAGCCCTACGCCTGGACCCAACAATAAAGGGAGTACACGTCAGGGAAGAAGAATATAAAGTGGCAGGATACGCAGACGACCTACTCCTCACCCTCACAGATCCGATAAATTCACTCCCACTCCTACTACACACCATACAAGAATATGCACAGGTCTCAGGCTACCGCCTCAACCTGGATAAAACGGAAGCACTTCCAGTACAAATCCCCCAGGAGGACCTAGACTCATTAAAAATAAACTATCCGTTTCGCTTCAACCCCACGCATATACACTATCTGGGTATAGACTTACCAGCAGACGTCTCCCAGACATACCGACTCAATTATCCCCCTCTACTTCAAAAGGCAACAGCGGACCTTAAAACATGGGAATCCCACTCCATCTCCTGGCTAGGAAGGGTGGCATGCATAAAAATGAATCTCCTACCGAGGTTCTTATACCTATACCAGACACTACCGGTTCAAATAGTCGCCAAGGACTTTAAACTACTACAAACACAAATAGATCGCTTCGTATGGGCCAACAAACGGGCCAGAATACGAAGAGACATCCTCTACATCCCGACGCGCTCGGGGGGCCTAGGCCTACCCCACTTCCTCCACTAGGGGGCCTAGGCCTACCCCACTTCCTTCCACGCAGCCCAACTAAACAAATTAAAGCACTACACGCACCCATAGGGTTGAAAAGATTGGTAGACCTTGAACATGACCTATTCGGACACGACTTCCCTTCCCTCTACATCTGGGTCCCAAAACAAGCCAGACCACAACCCCCGCACACCACACCGGCACTTGACACCGTGATTGCAATCTGGAACAAACTCTCCATAAAACACGGGCTCACATCGAACCCTTCACCCCTGACACCAATCCTGAGAAACGAACACTTCACGCCAGGCATGACCCCAAAAGACTTCGCGCACTACGAAGACAACGACCTCGTCAGGACATATCAATTCTTTCGAAACCAAAAAATCATTGCTTTCACCGACCTGCCACAAACCAGACCACTCACCACACACGACTTCTTCCGCTACCTGCAAATCAAAAATCTCCTAGACACCCCTACCTACAAACAAGCTGGTAATACACCCCTCACCGTTTTTGAGCAGGCATGCATCCATGCCCCCATACAAAAAAGTCAGATCTCCACAACCTACGAACTACTGCTCAAACCGATAGGAACACACCCACCAGGGTATGTAATAGCATGGGAAAGGGATCTAGGACCCCCCGCAGACCCCACAGACTGGTCCGCAATCTGGGTAGCCACAGCGACAGTGACGATATGCGTAACACATAAAGAACAGGAATACAAAACCCTGATGCGCTGGTATCATACTCCGCTAAAACACAAGCAAATGGGACTATCCACCTCAGATAGATGCTGGAAGGGGTGCGGCCAAAAGGTGACGTACTACCACATGTGGTGGGAATGCCCCCACATTGCACAAATCTGGACTGACATAGTGGCCCTGGCCTCCAGAGTCCTACATGATACCATCCCAAGAGACCCGTGGTTATGGTTACTATCCAAACCGCTGGTCGGTACACCACGGGCTCATAACAAACTACTAGCCAAACTAGCCTTGGCAACAAGGAGAGCCATAGCCTCCCATTGGGGCTCACCCACAGTCCCGTCACTCACTGACATAAAGAAAAAAAATTAACGAAGCCAGGGCAATGGACAGTTTATCTACACTCATTCATGACACCACAACGCATTGTGACAAAATATGGGATCTGTGGCTCATGGAACCCACCACAGCCACATAAGACACCCCCAAAAAAAGGGGGCAACCAACCACGACAGGAATCATGCACAAACACATAACCCATAGGGGCCAAGACGTCAGTGTCCAAGACAGGTCCACAATGAAATATGCAACTCCGAAAAACCGCACAACCCACAGATCAGGGACACCTTTTCACCCCCCCCCCCACAACCCCATCAGAAACCCCACAGTGTGGAACCCCCAATCCACACTCTATCCCGGAACTGAACTTAATCCACTCTCGCCCCTTAACTTGCAGTTCCGAATCCATGTACCATACCAAGGAAACATGATCTTAGGTTCAAACTTGTTAATATTTGTTTTATTTTGTTTTGAATTGTTTAAATGTATGGAAAATCGACAGAACAGAATCGTATATGAGAAAATAATGTTGCGTTAGCAGTAAACTACTCTACTGGTATATACCTCTCTGTATCACAATGCATTACTACACTGTTTACCTTTTGGCTTTTGCATAAGCCCACACACTACCTTCTGTCCAACATCTATAAACTTACCATTTCTGTCAACCGGAAAATAAAGAATAAAAAAAAAAAAAAAGGAAACTATCAGTACTGTGAATTATTTCTGATAATAAAATATTCCATGTAACAAGGCCTTGTTGTGCATTATTTTGTTATGAATAAGAGAAGGGTACTGGTTTACTGCCTTGCAACGATTTCATAAGCGTTTTAATGCAATATCTTGACCTAAATGTATTTTCTGACGCCTTTTCAAGTGTTTTCAGCTCCCTACAGAGAATGCACTTACAATTGTTGTTGTTTTTTTTTGTTTTGTTTTTCTCTCTTCGGTAATTGGACTGTAATTACAGACCATAACGTCACAAAAGTCAAATTACTGATGCTTTTTCATTTTCCTATTCATAGAAACATAGAATGTGACGGCAGATAAGAACCATTCGGCCCATCTAGTCTGCCCAATTTTCTAAATACTTTCATTAGTCCTTAGCCTTACCTTATAGTTAGGATAGCCTTATGCCTATCCCACGCATGCTTAAACTCCTTTACTGTGTTAACCTCTACCACTTCAGCTGGAAGGCTATTCCATGCATCCACTACCCTCTCAGTAAAGTAATACTTCCTGATATTATTTTTAAACCTTTGTCCCTCTAATTTAATACTATGTCCTCTTGTTGTGGTAGTTTTTCTTCTTTTGAATATAGTCTCCTCCTTTACTTTGTTGATTCCCTTTATATATTTAAATGTTTCTATCATATCCCCCAAGCTATACATGTTAAGATCCTTTAACCTTTCCTGGTAAGTTTTATCCCGCAATCCATGAACCAGTTTAGTAGCCCTTCTCTGAACCCTCTCTAAAGTATTAATATCCTTCTGAAGATACGGTCTCCAGTACTGTGTACAATTCTCCAAGTGAGGTCTCACCAGTGTTCTGTACAATGCCATGAGCACTTCCCTCTTTCTACTGCTAATACTTCTCCCTATACAACCAAGCATTCTGCTAGCATTTCCTGCTGCTCTATTACATTGTCTGCCTACATTTAAGTCATCAGAAATAATCACCCTAAATCCCTTTGCTCATATGTTGAGGTTAGGACTCTATCAAATATTCTGTACTCTGCCCTTGGGTTTTTACGTCCAAGATGAATTATCTTGCACTTATCCACGTTAAATGTCAGTTGCCACAATTCTGACCATTATTCCAGTTTACCTAAATCATTTGCCATTTGGCTTATCCCTCCTGGAACATCAACCCTGTTACATATCTTAGTATCATCAGCAAAAAGACATACCTTACCATCAAGACCTTCTGCAATATCACTAATAAAAATATTAAAGAGAATGGGTCCAAGTACAGATCCCTGAGGTACCCCACTGGTGACAAGTCCAAGCTTCGAATATATTCCATTAACTACAACCCTCTGTTGCCTGTCACTCAGCCACTGCCTTACCCATTCAACAATATTGGAATCCAAACTTAAAGATTGCAGTTTATTGATAAGCCTTCTATGTGCAACAGTGTCAAAAGCCTTACTGAAATCTAGGTAAGCAATGTCTACTGCACCACCCTGATCTATAATTTTAGTTACCCAATCAAAAAAATCAATTAGATTAGTTTGGCATGATCTCCCTGAAGTAAACCCATGTTGTCTCTGATCTTGAAATCCATGTGTTTTTAGATGTTCATCAATCCTATCCTTTAACATGGTTTCCATCACTTTCCCCACTACTGAAGTAAGGCTTACTGGCCTATAGTTGCCCGACTCCTCCCTATTACCTTGTAAATGGGCACAACATTCGCTTACTTCCAATCTTCTGGGACTACTCCTGTTAACAATGATTGGTTAAATAAATCTGTTAATGGTTTTGCTAGTACACCACTAAGCTCTTTTAATAGCTTTGGGTGTATTCCATCAGGTCCCATTGACTTATTTGTCTTTACTTTTGACAGTTGAAATAGAACCTCTTCCTCTGTAAACTCACGTGTAATAAATTACTCATTTATCCTTTTTCTCAACTGAGGTCCCTTTCCTTCATTTTCATCTGTAAATACAGAACAAAAATATTCATTGAGGCAGTCAGCTAGACCTTTATCCTCTTCTACATACCTTCCTTCTTTTGTTTTTAATCTAACTAATCCTTGTTTTACTTTTCTTTTCTCATTTATGTATCTAAAAAATGTTTTATCCCCCTTTTTTACTGACTGTGCTATTTTCTCTTCTGTGTGTGATTTGGAAGCTCTTATAACTTGCTTAGCCTCTTTCTGCCTAATCTTATAGATCATTTTGTCTTCCTCACTCTGGTTTTTTTTATAATTCCTAAATGCTAACTTTTTGTTTTTAACTATTTTGGCCACATCTGCGGAGTACCACAGTGGTTTCTTGAATTTTTTGCTTTTACTGACAAGCCTAATGCAATTTTCTGTTGCCTTCAATAGTGCAACTTTTAAATAATCCCATTTCTCTTGGACTCCATTTAAATTGCTCCAGTATGATAATGACTCCTCTACCCATATTCTAATTTTAGAAAAGTCTGTTTTTCTAAAGTCTAAAAGTTTTGTTTTTGTGTGGTGTGACTCAGTCACTGTTCTTATATTAAACCACACTGACTGATGATCACTGGATCCTAAACAATCACCTACAGTAATATCTGATACCAAATCTCCATTTGTTAACACTAAATCTAGTATGGCCTCTTTACGAGTTGGCTCCTCAACAACTTGTTTTAGAGACAATCCCAGTAGGGAGTTTAGAATATGTGTGCTCCTGGCACAAGCAGCTAATTTTGTTTTTCAATTTACATCAGGAAGATTAAAGTCACCCATGATGATAACTTCCCCCTTCATTGTCATTTTAGCTATTTCCTCAACTAGTAGATTATCTAACTCTTCAATTTGTCCTGAGGGCCTATAAATCACACCTACACAAGTTACTGTGTGATTACCAAATTCTAACGTAACCCAAACGGACTCTATGTTTGCCTCACTAACTTTTATTAGGCTAGATTTTATGCTATCCTTCACATACAGGGCCACCCTTCCCCCTTTCTTGCCTTCCCTATCTTTCCTATATAAAGAGTACCCTGGTATTGCTATGTCCCAGTCATTTTTCTCATTGTACCATGTCTCAGTAACAGCGACTAAATCTACACTATCAGTTGCCATTATTGCCACAAGTTCATGGATTTTATTCCCTAAACTGCGAGCATGTGCTCTCTTCACTGCTTGTATTGCACTAATGTTTACTGTCATTGTGTAAGTCATATGCATTGTCTACTGCTCAAATTTAGATAAAGAATGGAAAAAAAAGAAGAGAACTGGTTTACTCCTGCTTCGTGAGGGCAGCCATTTTTCATCAGAAACACAACATATTTGCTAACACTATGTACAATTTAAAACTGTCCCACAGTGCATATCTGAGATGCCCAGTGTAACAAACCCCTTGTACTTCGTATAGTATGTTTGTTCGCACACTCCCAAACTGCTAGAGGCTTAAGTGATTAAAGACTGTTCTGTTCGCATAGTATGCTTGTTCGTACTGTTCCAAAATCCAAGCAGGTCGTGAGAACAAATCAATCACTTTGTCGGTCGCATACCCAAACATCAGTAAAGACTTGATGAAGGGTACAACTGGAATGTTTTATTATGGCTAGATGGGCCACTTTTATACACAGACCCCCAGCATGGGGTCTTAAGCAAAAGTATGGTAAAACACACCCAGGTATCTCTGTGTCTGAGAGATAATTGAGTGCACTTTGCTTAACCAAATTATCTCCCAGGCACTAGAGAAAAAAATATAAAACATAAAACGTCATAAAATATATATATATAAGCCTGGATCTGAGCGCCCAATGTGTCCAACGTAGCGCTCAGATCCCACAAATACAGCCAAATCACCACCGTAGTAAAGTTTTGACAGACCGCACATGTGGTGCCTGCCTAAAATAGTCCCATGAGTAAAGTAGTAGCGCTCGGTCACTTTCGGAAGTACCAAACCAAACAAAATACCTAATGGTTCCCCTGGCTCCTAGGTAGCGATTGTTCCTCATGTTCGTGCGTACCTTTTCACCAAATAGCGCGGTCCTGGCTTGTCACGAATAGAAGCAGGAGTTCGCGAGGTCAAGTGTCCATCTTATAGTTCCATACACTGGATGAGCACTTAATATTGTTTCTGAATGCATGTTACATTTGTGGTGTTTTGTTCTTACAAGCTTCTGATCAAATACGGCTTCAAAATGGTTTCCTTGTATTTATATGTATGAATTCCAAATACATATAGAGGATACAATAATTTGAATATTTTATTTTCAATAATAATAAAAAATATTGTTAACATGTTTTAATGATAGCCAGCATAATCTAATCATGTATTTCAAACACTGCAATAGCATGCTTGCTTGCTAATATATTTTAACAATATTATTTTGAAACCTGAAATGGGGATATTGCATTAAAAGTAAGAATAATGAGAAAATACAAAAGCATTGTGAGCAATTTGTGTGATCTTACACAGGCTACTTGCTGGGAACTAGAAAACAAAACATGATGGGAAATTATTCATTTCTAATCACTCTATCTCAAGTCTCATTAAAACAGGAAAATAACATCAAGTAATTGACTCTTTAAAATGTATTTGTGCAGACTTTCCCTTTTTTATCCCAGCTTTACTCAAATAAACAAAAAAAAAAAACTCTCTTTTCTCTTTAGGCAATGTGTTGTTTAAAGGTATTGAAAAGAAATTCAAGGCTGGTGTCTGTGATAAGAGCTTCGTTCCCAATTTAGACAGGTTGCTCACTGGGCTAAAGAATAACAATGAGCTTGTTACCAAGCACACCAACTTTGGTGATAGATTCAGAGAATAGGGAATGCTGAATTAAACTATACAAGTGGGGTATTTTTACTAACATTTTATTATTAGTAATTTTTATATTCCACATCGCTTTACAATTATAGAAAGTAGATATATAGAGGTGATGAAGGCCCTTCTCAAACAAGCTTACAATCTATGAGGATTTGAGGTAGGTTAATAAATATCATTAGGCAGGGGCGTAACTAGGAATCACAGGGCCCCAGTGCAAGACTCAAAGAAGGAACCCCTTACCATTTGCTCCCCCTAAGTAATACACTGTGACACACACCAACAGACTAACAGACAACACAAGACATACACTGACAGAGACACACACTGATACTGGCGTAGTGGTGGGCTTATGGTGGAACCAAATCCCCAAATTTGTTTGCTGATATAGGTGATTTTAAGTAGCCTTCTAAAATATAAAACTGTATTTTTATGTGTGCTGCTCGGTAATCTGTATTTTGTATAAATGTTGGTCTGTACAGCAGCACCACTGCTAAGAAATGCATGTTCCATGTGTACCCTTAATACCGTTTTTGTTCTATGTATGTTTTGAGTCCAGACTAGATTCTTTTTGGGTTGAGCAACCCTAGCTTCAGAAGCCCTTTTGGAGGTGACTACAAGATGACCACAGTATAAATTTAAGGAGGTTTGGATAGCAATGTAATTTCAATAATATTTTTTATATGACAGAGTAGATATATGATATGCATTGTGATTATATATCTCAAAGCACTGTCACTATTAATGATTTATTTTGAACACTTTATTTTTTTCATTGTGTAGTTAATCAAATTCATTTTGCATTATATATTCACAATGCTCTTACAACAGATTATTAAAATACACTTTACCTCAGTGGTTCCCAAACTTTTTAGGTTCAAGTCACCCTTAATATTTCAATATTTTTCCAAGGCGCCCCAAATCAAAAATATTTCTAGGTTGTATATCTGTACAGCGCAGCAGCATATACTGGGCTCCTGTTCAGTAGAAATTCTTGCCGTTCAAGCGCAGATCCAGAACCTAAT